GAAGCCAGAGCCAGAAGCACGCCACATTGCCAGCAAAATGCGTGCCACACATCCTTTCACCTTGCTGCTTTTCCCACGTAACGTGACTCTGTTCTGAAGGAGTCCCATGCAGTGCGCCAGGCTGGTAGAACCTAATTCGTAAGCCTTGCCTGTACTGTAGGGCTAAGAAGGCAGGGAACGTAATTCTTCCATCCCCGGTTGGTTTATTTGCTTGCTTTTATAATTCTGCATTGGGAAGGTGGGTTTTACCCAGAAGGGAGCTGTTAACAGTGATGAGAGGAAGTGTAGATTTGGGGCCTCTCTGAATGAGATGGTCATCACAGCACCTTTTTGAAATAATACTGTGGTAAGAAGACTAATGGATTGCAAGTGACTTTGAAGGAAGCCTACTATTTAAAAACACACTTTTTAAAATTGGGGGTGGTGGTGCATAAAGAATATTTGAAACCCCAGCAGGTGCGTGCTTGTGTTAGTTTAGGATTTCTGTATTAGTCTAATGAGAGTATGTTGATAATGAAGCCAAGAAAAAATAATGTCTTTTTTTTGCAAGTTCTTTTGTTCTCTGTGAACCAGTCCAGCCCCATCCTTGAGAATCTTTTGATTTGAGAAAGTTGAGGGTTTATACGTGAGTCAGGATAAATTCATTACTGTTCTCAGAAGAATTAAAGTATATGGATCAGTGATGGTGGGTTAGCATTGTTATAATTTTTCAGATATGGTTATTTACCTAGCTTTTTTTCTGAAATGGACCTAGCCCTGGAAGGGGTTTGGAAATCACATGGTCCACTGCCCTGGTTCTGTAGTTGAGGAAATCGAAGGCCAGGGAGTGAAGGGATTTGCTCAAGGTTAGACAGCCGGTTGTTGGTGGTGGGAGGTGGGGTGGCCTGATTTCACAGCTTGCCTGGTTTTTCCCTGCCAATCCCTCTGGGAAAGCACCGGTTTCTCCCCAGTGGGATGAAGCTCCAGTGCCTCCTGGGTTCTCATACTGAGATTTAAGTCCTGGTTGGGACATCTCAGTGGGTTGTTAGTTGGATAATACCGCTGTTCTTTCTTGCGTCAAGTAATATTTGGAAATTTCTTCTTGACTTTTAAGGAAAACGGGTCACAGAAATAAGAATTTTGTTTAAACTAACACTTGGGGAAGAAAAAAACCACATAATCATGCCTAATTGAAGATGTAAGTTTCACTTGGTAAACTCAGCTGCAAAAATGAAGGGGGTTTACGCACAGTTCTCTTCTGTTTACTCTTTTGGGCTGTTCGTAAATTTGCCCGTACACTGTTGTTTTGATAAGGCATTGCTATTACATGCACAGTCAGTACAAGGTAAAAATTACTAGGAAACTTTAGTTTGACTCACTTCTCAGCTCCTTCAAGTCTTTGCTGTGAGTCTTACTCTGACCCACTTAAGATTGCAATTCACCCCATTCACGCCTCCATCTCCTTAGTCTACCATCCTGGCCTCTTTCTTTTCAGTAGCACATACTCTCTCTCACATTGTATATGTATCTCCCATGTCATATGTCTGTATGTTATGTTTACTGGTTATAAGTACGTAATATATATTATGTCTATATTATGTCCATATAGTCTCTGTGTGTCGGGTGTCTCCTCCATCAGACTACAAGCTCCATGAATGCAGACCTTTGTCAGTTTGTGTTCCCAGCACGAAGAATAAATAGTGCTTGCCCTGTAGGAGATAGTATATGAATGAATGAACTTGGCAAAAAGCAATACTCTTTAGGATTTCTACTAGTAAAATGCCAGATTCTCAATCGTAGTGTTTATTTTATTCATGAACTCACTGGGGATGGCAAAATCACCAGTTTGGCATGTAAAGAAAGTAAATTATCTTAAGGTTGTGAGTTGTGTTATAAACAGTATTCTGGAACTTCCTTGCTTATTTGGCACTAAGGAAGGAACTCGGCTTCAGGTGAAAAAAAGTCATTAAATTTTCAGATATTATCAGTGGAACAAATTCTTTAGACATTAAAATCTAGATTACTCAGTGATAAAAATGTACAGATATAGATTTGGATGGCAGCTGGTTTTAAATTTAATTGATAGAAAAGCTTTTCATTTCCAGCATTGTGGCAAATAGAGCCAGATTTCAGAGAATCAGCGTCCTGAGGCAGCAGGGGCGGGATGAGGAAGGGATCAAGGCCTGGGGAGGGTTGGAAAAACCCTTCAACAGAGTCATCCAGATGTGAAAATGCATCTGTACACCTGCTCAGAGAAGCTGGAAAACGAGACAGGGAGACCCATTTAATGCAGATAAAGTCCATAACATTCTGAAATTTTCATTTATCTAATGTGCTGGTAGCCTCCCAGTGAGTTCTGGGCCATAATGTAACTTATAAATACTCATTTTTATTATTTAAAGATGTATTTGATTTTTTAGGATTTAAGGGAAATAAAGATGATCCTTAATGTCTTAGGAAGATGTTAAGAAACCTAGAAGGTATCTTAGAAATAGGCTATGCTGGCTCTTCATGTCAGCTTAAGCCCAAATGTTAAATGACTTGCCCAACATCGCACAACTAATTCTTGGCAGAATTGGTACTAACTTTTGTCACAAATTATAACTGAAGCATCCTTAATAAGAGAAGAGTGTACAGGCCTCTCTTTGATAACCTAGGGGTGGTTTTAAATTTGTTCCAAGATTTATGTTTTATCTTAAAAGTTTTAAAAATGCATGCAGATATTCCATCCTATACAAATTGCATTCTTCTTCTTCTTTTTTTTTTTTAGAAGATTTTATTTATTTGACAGAGAGAGACAGAGCAAGAGAGGGAACACAAGCAGGGGGAGTGGGAGAGGGACAAGCAGGCTTCCCGCAGAGCAGGGAGCCCGATGTGGGGCTCGATCCCAGGACCCTGGGATCATGACCTGAGCCGAAGGCAGATGCTTAACGACTGAGCCACCCATATGCCCCATGTGCTTCTCTTTTTATGTGTATAAGCATGCATATTTTTGTGCTGATTTGTGGAATTGTCATCTGGAATTAGAGAAAATGAACAGAATGAAAGATCACCTTACGTTATTATCTTAGAAGTGTTAAATCAGAGTTTTAAAGAAAACCACAATGGGGGAATCTACTTGATTTGCTCTGAAGTTAAATATATTATAATAGAGGAAATTAATTATAGCACAGTGAAAATACCTTATTTAGAAAATATTTTCAACCTCAACTTGGGAAGAAAGGATTGCTATTTTTGTCAATTCAACTTTCGTGTACGTGAAGTAAGGCGTTATGCTTTGTGTTTTTTTGCTGGAGGTACAAGTTTGGAAGCGATGAGTTTTTTTTAAGAGAGAGAGATGGTTTTTGTATATAATTTTGTAAGTACATTTTCCCTGAAGATTAGATCATATTTTTATGGAGAAAGACAGCCAACCCCGCCCTACCCCTTTCCCCAGCAGGGAATTACTCTAAAGGTTTTGCTTCTTAATCTTTTATGTTAATCTTTTTTTTTTTTTCAACACATGGTTAAATGAGATTTTTATCCTGCAGCGGAGTTGTAGCTTGATTTTAATATGCTCCAAAAGATCGTTTCCCCTGTTGAATAAAGAGCAGAGTGTGATAGGAAGAGCACCAGGCTGCCAGTCAGGAGATTTTGACTTCATCTTATCTGTAGGATGATGCTTTTACAGCGGTAATGGGGGTATTGCAGCCTCTTCCAGCTCGGAGAGTTTATGATATGTATTTGCTCATAATGTGCTTAGTGCCTCATACCCGTATTTCCTAAAATTTCAAAGTACAGACAGGGTGCGTATTTTAAGTTTCACTGTCTCCCCACAAAGCAGCTCTCTTGGGATGAATACTTTGGGAGCCAGTGCCCTTTGCTTTAGTCCGGCCAGTGGGTTCCCCTGTGTGACTGCGATCGTTCTGTAAGGACCTGCTGGGCAGTCTCCAGTGGCTCTGCGAAGGCCCTTCTCCACTGAGCAGCATGAGCTCCGTGAGCCTCTGAGCATTTTCGAGACAGCCTCCTAAAGCGTGAGGAATTTTCAGATTGGGCTTGGAATCTTTAGGAACTGGACCATTGCTCCTTTTGAGCGGTTTGCCACTTGGAGGCCTCGTATTAATGTTGGAAGTAGCCATCTAAATTTTTATGGTCTTATATTTGCAGATTTTCCACAGATCGTAGGTGTTCATGAGAGGAGGCCTCTGGCAGAAGAGTCTACGTGATTGTTTTCCCATGCTAGTCTCATGTACCCAGGGTCTCTTTGTCCTTGAGGGTGTACCGTGGTGTGTGTGTTTTCAGTTGTCTGTATCACACTGGCTAGTTGACTAGCTCTAGGTGGATATGCAGAAATAGCCTGCAGAATTACTGGATTCATATCCCAGTCTGGCAGACTTGTATGTTTAGAAGCCCAAATACAGTATCCGTTGGCAGGCACGTCTTGGCAAACGGTGAGTGACTTGTGGGTGGGAAGAAGTGCGGCTCTGGGTGAGCTGACTGGGCTGGAAGCCCCTGCCCCACAGCCATGCTATGACTGTAGTCTGGTATCCAAGAGAGATTTGTTTGTCAGTTTTTTAGAAATCATAGCTCCAAAGTCAGAGACAGCTGTAAAGCCCTTCAATTATTTTGTGATTCAGCTCTCATTATTTTTCACATCTTCTGGATTTGAAGTTTTGAAGATTTACACTCAAATAGAGTCTGGAAGGACTAAGGTACCTGTTAAAGACTTACTTTGAGGCTGAAGAAAGCCTTTATTTTTCTTTCATTTCCCTAAGGTATGGCAGTATTAGAGCAGATGGAAGGCTGGAGTTTGAGCTTAAGTTGTGTGAAAACTTCATCAGCCAATTGGCTGACTCTTAATGGTGAGACAGGAAGAACCACCCACGTTTTCCATTTTGGATTTGAGTCACAGAAAACAGGTTTCGTGCAGAAACCATTTGGCTTCAACAAGTGTACGGAAATTTCATCTTTGATCAAATTGATGTTTTTATCTTCATTGTGCATGTATTTCAAATTAATTATTTCCCCCTTTCAATCCTTAGGTTCAGTTTTGAATGTGAATGGCAGTAAACTAATATCCAAGATTTCTGTATAAGAAGTAGATCAAAAGGACTGTACTTTCAGGTAAGGATCTCATTTTACTTTATCTTTAATAATACACAGCTGCTTTGGCAGAAGTCCGGCATGGCCCTGACCCCCTTTCCTGTGAATACAAGTATAGGTGAATTTTCTAAAATGCAGCAAATTGATTGCTCTAGACAGGTTTCCACCTGTTTGGGATTACCTAAGAGGTGTCAGTGGGGTTGGCTACTTAAAATCATTAGAGAAGCAAGATGTGATGGCAGTTAACACACACACACACACACACACACACTCATTTAAAATGGAATATAAAGTTGTATTTAAATTTTCTTTTTCTTTTAGGTGGAGGAAATCATCCTAATACCTACCACTTCCTTCCCATGATTGATCGATTGATCTATCATCTGTCTGTTTCCCATGTATTTAAAGTTTAAAGACATAGATAGTTTTCAGATTAATTTCTTTATCTCTATGGCATCCCAAGGTACTAAACAGTTGTAGCCATAAGAAGATTATAGAAAAAGCTCTGTACTTGAAATAATTTGGAATGTATAGGGCCAGTATTTAGAAATGAATTCTCTCCAGGAGGAGAGGGATCTGTGTAGACCAGAAAGAAGCAACCCCCCACCCCTCATCCAATAAAAACCATATTTACATAGAAAGTGCTGTGCTGAAGAAAGGGATTGTCGTAGTGTTTCTGTATTCAAATGAAAGCATATTTCAGAGAAGTGATATATTGCTTTTTAATCAATTACCTAGTTTTCCTAATTGGTTTTGAGGTATTGAGTCCCCCCCCCCCATATTAGCTTTTGTACCTCTTTAGGGTGGTATTTTTCAAGTTTAAAATACGTAAAACTCAATTTTAAATTATTGGCATTATTTGAAGAGTGAGTAATCCAAAAATCACGTGTCAGTAATACATTGTAGGGTGGCTCTTGTAGCAAGTTTCATTTCCTAACTGTATTACCAGTTGACAGAAATTCCTTTGCAAAACATTAACATACCAACAAAGAGAGCTCAGTAGAGAGAAACTGGCTTGGGGTTTGTAACAAGCTGCAGATGATGTGTGGACATAATTTCTTTCCAGTTCTTCCTGGGATCAGCCTTAGTCAGACTCTTTTTTTTTTGAAGATTTATTTTTATTTATTGGGGGGGAGGGGCAGAGTGAGGGGGAGAGAGAATCTTTTTAAGCAGGTTCTGCACTGAGCAGGGAGCCTGGTACAGGCCCTGAGATCACGGCCCTGAGATCTTGACCTGAGTGGAAAACAACAGTCCGACGCTTAACTGACTGAGCCACCCAGGTGCCCCGCTAGTAACTCTTTCCTCATCTCCCTGCAGGTCAGGTCTTCCCTGTGGGGTTAAATGCTGTTATGCTCTGCTTAGAATTCTTCTGGGCCTCCCTATCACCTAGAGCAGTGGTTGTCAAACTTTTGGGTCTCAGAAACCCTGCTGTTAAAATTGTTGAAGCCCCAAGAGAGCTTTGTGTTTATGTTGATTATACCTATCACTATTTACTGTATTGAAATGGAGAAAAACTTAGGACATAAGAATATATAAGCTTGCATTCCCTTAGCTGGAGAGTGATGACATCATTGATCATGAGCTTCTGGCAAACAGTGTACATTTAGGAGAGAGAGAGAGAAGGAAAAGGCGAATAGCATACTATTATTTTTACAAGTTAGGTTTATTGAGGTGTAACTTTTATACAGTTCAGGCCACCCTTTTTAGTGTACAATTCTTCTTTGGGTTTTTACAAATGCATGTGGTTGTGTAAACACAGTGAAGATATAGAACATTTCCATTGCCCCAAAATGTTCCCCTTCCCTTAGCCTTAGCGCCCTCTGACCTTTTCTCTATACTGTAGTTGTACTTTTTTTCCCCCCAGATGTCATATAAATGGAATTATACAGTCACAGCCTTTTGAATCTGGCTTCTTTCATTTAACATAATGCATTTCAGACTCATTCATGTTGTTGTCTGTATCACTAATTTGGTTTTTTTTATTGATGAGTCTTACTCCAATGTATGAATATACTGCAGTTGGTCCATCTACCAGTTGGAGAACATTTGGATTGTCCTAGCGTTAATATTAAAATAGTGTTAATCTCACAGACCCCCTGAAAGGGTCTCAAGGACCCCCTAGGAGCCCGAGCCCTCTCTCTGAGGACCTCTGCCCATCTTGAACTACTTACCTGCATGTGATGTGCCCTCTGTCTAAAATGCCAGGATCTAGCTCATGTGCAGGCCTTTTTTTTTAAATTTTTTTTTGTCTTTTTAAAGATTTACTTATTAGAGAGAGAGAGAGACTCTCAAGCAGACTCCCCATTTAGTGGGGAGCCCCACATGGGACTCGATCTCAGGACCATGAGCTCATGACTTGAGCCAAAATCAAGAGTCGGACGCTTGACCGATTGAGCCAGCCAGGCGCCCCTCTGCAGGCCTTTCTAAGCCCTCTTCCCACCATCCCCCAAGGCTGAGCCTCAAGGCTGGGCTGGTCACCACCACCTTTGTGCCTCTGTTGTGCCTTTTTCCTCGGCTCGGCGGTTATTGAGGACGTCGTAGCCTCCCAGTTTCTGGAGGGTGGTGCCTTCTCTCTCTGTCCCAAGTACATGCCCGGTGCATGGAAGATGTAGTACATGTTTGAATGAATGAAGTATGGGAGACTTTCTCATAGAACATGCGTCCCTCGTTTCAGTTCTGCAAAGTATATATAGCACAAGTGTTATTTAGTATCTTTTATTTTTATTTTTATCGGATAAGGATATCTATGGTCTTGACCAGGCTGTACCTTAGAATAACTTGGGAAGCTTTTAATAAACATACTGATGACCAAGATTGAATTCTAATCTCTGGAGATCAGGCTTGAGTATTAGTATTATTTAAAAGCATCACTGTTGAACCTGATGTGCAGCCCCCAGAGAGTCTTTGTTTAATAGAGTTTGATTTACCGTGAAGTCTTAGTGATGATATAGTTGAGACTGGAACCCTGATCCTTGATTCCTACTGGAATGCCTTTTCCTCTACGTTCCAGACTCTCATGTGAATAGAAGCACTATAGAGATTTAGAGAGTCTTGTAGATGACTGCATTTTCAATTTATGGAGGTACTGTAGTGTGAAGACCAGAACACTGAATTTAGGGTCAGGGGGGAGTATGTTCCTGTTTGACTCTGCATTTATTAACTGTGGATTAATAAATACTTGAGTCTGTTCTCACTTTTAAAATAAGGATACTACCTTAAATTCTAGAAGCGTATTATGGGGATTCAATTAGATACTATGTTTAAGGATTTTTTTTTTTTAAGTAGGCTCCATGAGCCCAGCATGGGGTTGAAGTCATGACCCTGAGATCAAGACCTGAGCTGAAATCAAGAGTTAGATGCTTAACAGACGCTCCTGTTAAAGGATTTTAAAGGATTTATTTAAGGGATTGCAAAATCCTTTTGTAAACTATAAAGTGCTTTCTAAAACTTATTTTTACTTGATTTTAGCATCGTGTATTTATTGGCTAACTTTCCTTGAGGTTCATAAATTACATAAGTAATATATAAGGGTGGTCTCACTGAAATAGTGAAATAACAGATTTATGCAGAGTAAAACTAAGAGGTCGCCGTTGGTTGCATAGTTTTGATCCTTTGTATATGAATTTAAGTGCATAAATGTGTATGCTTATGACATCCTTTTTTTTCCTTTGGTTGTATTAACATAGAGTATATTTTGTATGTTTTTTTTTTTTAATTTGACAACACGTCTTTTATCATTCCATATTAGTATATAGAAATCCTTCTCATTCTTATAGCTGTATAATTTTTTCATATATTTCCATATTGGTGGACATAGTAGCCTGTTTCTAGTCTTTTACTTTTATGAAATGCTAATGAACATTCTTAGCTCTTATTAAACCATTAGTTAATTCTTATTAAAACATTTATTCTGTTTTACAGATAGTGGGAGCTGAAGTAAATGTCTCGTGAATGAAATCTTAGACATTTTCTACTCAAGTCAGGATAGAACTTAGACTTTTTAAAAAATTGTGGTAAGGGCGCCTGGGTGGCTCAGTTGGTTAAGCAACTGCCTTCGGCTCAGGTCATGATCCTGGAGTCCTGGGATCGAGTCCCACATCGGGCTCCCTGCTCAGCGGGGAGTCTGCTTCTCCCTCTGACCCTCTTCCCTCTCATGCTCTCTTATCTCTCATTCTCTCTCTCTCTCAAATAAATAAATAAAATCTTTAAAAAAAAATAAAAAATTGTGGTAAAATATAGTAGACCTTGGAGAATTTTTTCATATGATCTTTGTAAATTTAGTTTGTTTTATTTTTGTGGTATTGTCATTTCACTATTTGGATAGACTTTGAAAGACTAGTATGTATATTTCTTAACTCCTTTAGGTGTGATTGCTCATACTTTTCCCTTGACTAACAGCAGCAGTGCAGCAAGATGTCAGTACTTACTTATGCTGGGCCCTGTGTTAGGAGCTTATTATATACATGGTACCATTTCTTCCTCTCAGTAATCCCCTGAAATTGGTTGTGTTCTCCAGGTTAAACATTCAGAAATGGAGGATCAGAGAGGTCAGATCACTTGCCCAAGGCTAGTAATGGGTCTTGGATTCAAAGGTCCTGCTTCTACCTATGATGCTAAACAGTCTGCCAGGAATTCACTGAATCAGAGATGGGACTTTTACTTGACAACATCACAGCTTACTTTGCAAATTACTGGTGTTTGTATCTGCATATTTTGCTTTTTAGTACCAGTAATAATTTAACCTTTGCAGAAATAGTCTGTGCTTTCGAGTATCCATTTTGTAGAAAGTATTTATAATAAAAGCAGTATCGTAATATAATAAAAACAAATGCTTATTGAATATAATAAGTGGTATTTTGGAGTGAAAGAGGCCACTAAATGGAGAGTTGATGTTGAATTCTGTTATTAACAGGATAACCTTGGTAAATGAATGTTGTTTCCTCAATAGTAACATAATATTGGACTAAATAGTTCACTCTATACTTCATCAGCCGCCTGTCCTAAATTATAGTAGTGTGAGT